TTTTCACACTAGTTGGTTTTCTCCTGCAGAGATATTTCACGTGCACATGGAGTAGTTGCGTTGTTTGTAGGGAACGACTGGTCTAATTATGCCGGTATGCATTGTATACTATAAAAGCAGCATTGTCTATGTGAAAAAGGTACTCATGTAACTTTGTGAAGACAAGAAGCAAACGTCAATTTGCCGATTCCTTCAATAAGCTTGCAAATATATATTTTCCTCCTTCCTACACAAAATGTATTTTTGTAAAAAAGAATTTTAGAGCAGACATTTCACTGTTTGTGTACAGTGAACAACCTCAATACTGTAAACGGCTTTGCAGTAATCAGATCAATACATTTAGAAACGACTGTAATATTTTTTTTTAGTGGACTGTTGACTGGTTTGAATAATTAAAAGAGCTAAATTGATAAAAAAAAAGCAAAAGCATATTCAATCCACAAATCCAAATGATATGTCGTTTGATTCTTATATATATTCTCTGTAACCGCTGAAGTGATTTTCGGCCGAGCTCCTCCGCCAATTTGTGGTTTTGCGTTTTGTCGTTTTTTTCCGCAAATGCAGGGACCTACGGTTTATACTAAGCCACCTCCAAACAGCTGATGGTTTTTTTATTAGGAGCTTTTTATTTCATGACCGAAATACCTAGGAAGGGTTGGCATTAGAAAATTTAACTTATTTTTTTAATTTTAATTAATTTGCTATAGTTTTTGGATGTTGTTTGCACTAGGATTTGAAGCCGGCCAAGCCGAATGGCAGTACGCAATGCTAACCACAGTGGTCACTTCTGAAATTTTCGATGAGCTTGGTTCTGTACTTACAATTAGCGTTGCGGGAATAAAAGCTCCAAACGAAGAGAAGAAGCAACGAGTTCCAAACTTCTTCTGGAGGATATTTACTATTACATATAAACGTTAAAAACGCTATGTAGCTGGATCTGTTAGCGACGAGATCAATGCAATTCTAGGACCGTACATATAAATTCCTATTAAAATAATAGCTTTCATTGTACCCAAAGTCTTTAAAGTAAAAAAAAAAAAAAAAATAAACATTCTCTTGGAATTTTGCCTCAAAATAACATTTTTAATATCATGAGAGAAAACTCTTCACTTTATAGTTTTTTTTTTGTTTTTGTTATTATTGTCATGCCAGTTGTAGTTCAAGGATGCAAATTCTCATACCAAAAGTCAAATAAATCTTTTTGTTTTCGAAGCATTTTGTTTCTTTCCACTCACTCTATAAATCAATATCCTGTAACAGTTAAGTGCACAATGTGTGAATGGCTAAATAAGTTTGTGTAGACACGTACATATGTACATTCTTAAGCGAAGGGAATTGTTGGTCTATTAAACGGAACCCATTTGGAAATAAATCACATAGCAAATGAATTAGACGGTGCCCTACTATCGCACCATTCGCCCGAGGTACTCCGCAGTCTTGAACAGTGAATAAGGGACGAACACAAAATGATTTTTTGTGTGGAGTTTTCATATCTATCTCAGTAGTGAAGTAAACTTTTTTCCAAAAAAGGTTGATTCAATTTGATGAAAGATTAAAAATGTCCTGAGGAAGTTCAAAATCGAAAGTTGTAAAAAATTTAATTGAAAGAAACCAAAAGAAATACCTCGTTTGAATACCTCAGCATTTCCAAACCTTTTTTCAGAGATCCAGCTAATTATTCTGAGAAAGTAAAGACACAGGAAGCTAAACTTTTTAAGAAGGCCGAAAAGTAGAAAGAAGTAAAGTAGTAGTAGCAGAAAAGTATTTATATAGCAGCTTATACTTAAAAATAGTTTTTGAAAATGTAATCCCAAATTTCTTAATTTATCCATCCTTTAACCAACTAACGTAAAATACCTAATTCTATCTTTTATTCACGAACAACAATAAATAAATTTCTACTATCCTTGCCATCCTTCTGATCTTTCAAAAATCTTTAGCCGACGCAATTCAAGAAGTATTTTAGATGTCTGTTCAGGTCGGCATCGAAACCACTTTGAAATCGGGTCTTCTTTGTTTTAGACCCAATAATATTCGAACCGACTTTTAGTACTTTGTTTGGTCAGTTGGTGACTTTTACTTTTGTTTTTGTTAAATTTAAAAATACCAAATCTTTTGTAATTACTTCATTAATCTTTTTTTCAAATTTTAGAACCATCGGCTAAAATCTAGACGAGAAAACGATAGATAGGTGAAGATAGATCAGACGAAATTCCACCTTCAGTTCCTGGTATGGGGACCAACTGGAGTAACTCGCTCAAAAAGTCTAAGCAATAAAAATCTGCGGCTAAATTGATGATGCCAGTTTACTTCACCAGATCTAAAATCGTCCACTGAAAAAGGGTCAGACGGAAATTGCAAAATGATACCCCGAAGAGTGATCGCAAAAAGTTTTTAAAAATTTGCTGGTAAACAAGAACAAAGAGGATTTGCGGCACCATCCCACTATGCTGATCTCGTTAATAAGTAATTTTATTACGTTCTCTGGGATCTTCATACTACCTCAATACTTCAAGGAGAATTAGTATTGAAAAAAAAAAATAATACAACTTATACGATTTTTATCAAAATCTATTGAATCTATTGAATGTCATGGGTCATCTTGTTCTAGCTGCCGCTCTTCATAATCGCCTTTCCCTGCGACAAAAATTTCATTTAGTATGAGTGAAACGTAAGTTTTCAAGTGATCTTCACCGGAAACTTATTTTGATGTATTTTCGCTTGACAGATCTAAGAGGAACGAAACCGAAACATTCTTTTACATGCCAGTCCAATTGAGGTATCAGATTTACAAATTTACTAGTGATAATTCCTTAGTTTCATTTAACAGTTTAAGGATTTGAAAAATAAAAGCTAAAAATTTCTAAAAATAGTTAAAAAGGCCTAAACAAAATTTGAGTACTTCCAGCTAAATAGCGAAAATAGTAGCTAGATCCAGCTTGAAAAAAGCTCAAATGGGAACACTTGTTGCCCAATAACAATTCATGCATTCCCAAAACTCTGAAGTGGATAGTTGATCGTAATAATTGGTGCTTTCGGTCGACGGCGCCGCCTTTAATTCGGTGTGGACATCTTAATTTTTTTCCAATCAATGGAGAGACGAACAATTTATTTTAAGCCGCCTCCAAACGGAACCCTTTAAAATAAAATTCTATAACTTTGGATGTTTGGTCACACCAGGAGTCCAACCCTGGTCTTCTGAATGTTAGTATGCAATGCTAATCACTCGCCTATTGCGGTCGTGGGAATAGTTAGGTTTAATAATTAATCTGAGGCACTTCAGATATTACAAATGTGCTGGAGCTGAAGTTAAAAAGGGGGAAAAACGTAATGTAACTGCTCTTGAAATAATAAATAAAGATGAAAGATTTCGATAAAATTGGTACCAAAACAGTTTGATTAGCTATTCCGAAAAATAACTTTAGAAGGAAAAATAACAGAAAGGTCCAAATTGTATCGGTTGTGCGTTGAATCTCATTTTGTCAAAATTTTATTTCTAAGACGATAAAATAAAACCGGAGCTGGTTGGATAACCTCTCCCAACTCTTGAACAGATATCCTGGGAAGAATGAAGATGAATTTTCAAACCCTATTACATATATTATTGGCGCTTTGTAAACGCTTAAGCGATTTTTCGACCGAGCTCCTCCTCGATTTTGTGGTTTTGCATCCTGATGTTTTTCCAAGAAATGGAGGGATCTACAGTTTATACTAAGCCACCTCCGAACAGCTGACGGTTTTTTAATGAGAAGCCTTTATTTCATGCCCGAAATATACTCGGAGGGGTGGACATTCCCTGTCGAGGGGCGACCTCAATTAGAAAATTTAACTTAATTTTTTACTTAAATTAATTTTCTTTTTTTTCTTTCTTTACTTTCCGAAACATTTACAAAAATGTTTGAAGTGATATGTTGTACAAAATTCCATTTAAGGGGCACACCTTGTGTAATGGCCAAAAAAGGTGATTTTTGTGAATTTTTATTAAAAAAAAAATACTTAATTAATTATTTTAAAATTTTAGGAATTTATTTATACATGTTTCAAGAATATACCGTGAAATTTTTGAAGAAAAAAATTAAATGTTTTTTAAGTTATAGCCGATCTCCAACGGCGCGAAAAAAAGGTCCTTCACTGCTGCAGTGATTCAGACCTTCTCCGTGGATGAAATAAAAAAAAATCCTCTACTAGATAATATTGTCTGTACAATGACCTACGAATACCCGAATTTTAACCAAAATTTTGGTCGTTTTTGGCCTGCCAAAATTAAATTTTTTGATCAGATCAAAAATCGACAGGTCATTGTACGGAAAACTATATATAGAACATGTAAAAAAAATTCGATAGTGATCGGAACATTTGTTTTTGAGTAATCACTGCAGCAAATTCGGAAAATGCTGTTTCGAAAAAAAACGAGTTTAAAGATAAAATGATCGTTTTCACTCGTAGCTAATGAGACTCTCTAGCTGCCGAGCGGCTGCTCTTTAAATTGCTATAACTTCGATTTGAAATGAGATATCGATTTGAAATTTTAATATGTTATTTTTAAAAGAGCAATCTACAGAAATATGAAAAAAAATCGATTTTTTTGAAATTTCATACTAGGTGTGCCCTTTAATTAAACCTATATTGCCCTTTAAATGAATAGGAATTTTTCACAAAAATGTGTTGTTTGAATGTTGATTTAAATAATAAGTTTTTGCCACAAAACGCAGTACAAGACAAACAATATCCTATCTATTTATTTTTAATTTTTTTCCAACTTTGCGATTTTAAAGAGCAGTCAAAACTTGAATGTTGGTCTTGAAAAGCGTTTTCTGTCCTTAGCAGAGCGGGAGTATTATGGGTAGTGCGTATATCTGTGTGTGTAAATGTACCAAAATATTTGAATGTTTGTATGAAATGAGTTCAAAGGCAACTAACTTGCATACGTATGCATATGTAAATATAATAGGTATATATGTATGTATGCATATATACAAATCTCAAAGACCATTACTCACCTGTTACATTTGACTCGCTTTTATTCCAATGCAGCCAATCGTTGATTTCCGTAAAATTTGCATTATACATCTCACATCGACTGTGCTTGCTGGTGCCGCGATTATCCGTTTGCCTGTATGTACAGCATTCATCCATATATCCGCATACATACAAGTACACGTATATGTACGTACAGTTTGGCATATATGTACATACAATATAAGCGTTTGTGAATTTATGCAGTTTACGAAGCATGTGAGAGTGTTAATGGTATCGGGAATGCAAATACAAATAAAAGAATTGAGTTTAAATTTTAATTTCCATCGTGGGAGTAACTTATTGGATGGAGTAAAATGAAATAAAATAAAATACTCTAACCGCGCACTCGACGGTTCAATGAACAATGTGAAAAGTCAACAATGAACCGATGAACAGCTGCCAATTGTTGGCAAACCAACTCACCTTGTTCTTACTCAAATAATGCTGATGTGATGAACAACTCAAATTTACTTCGAAAATGAAAAATTCTTTTAAATTACAAACATTCATACCATCACATGAGGGTTGGCACTTATTTGAAATTTGAAAACATTATTTTTAAAACAAATTTTCGGGTCCAAAGTGTATAAGAACCAGAAGGAGCAGAGAGAGAGAGAGAGAGTGGGGGTTGGGGGTTCAAGAATTTAACCGCGGTAAGGCATGCCTGTCGTAAGAGGGAACTTAATTGCAATAGTTCCCGTGACAATCCGGGTCTTTATACCGGAACGACCCGGATTTTTATCCCGCCAAGGACTGCCACTCCCGCAACATCCCCCAAAAAGTACTTTGGGTTACAACAACAACAAAAGCAGAGAGAAAGAAAGACCACCAAAATTTAAGCCGATCGAATCGGAATGACGAGTTGAGTTGAGTTGAGTTGTCCCTCTGTCTGTCTGTTTGCCTATTGGACGCAAAGTAGTCCACCAGTTTTTGAGACATTTCGCTTGAGATCGAATCGCTATAACGCATGCAAATAAAGGGTGATTTTTTAGCTGTTATTTTTTTGACAACACTGGTTTAAATTGCTGACGCACGTTCCGTGTTTTGTGTCACTGTCAAACATCTTCAGTTTGGTCTATAATTTAACCATGAATCGGCTTTCAAACGAACAACGCTTGCAAATCATTAAATTTTATTATAAAAATGCGTGCCCTGTTAGGAAAAAGAAAAAGAAAAAGTCACAGTTTGTTGCGTCTTATGGACTGGTGGCATCATTGGACCGTACTTCTTCAAAGATGATCCGAATCGTAACGTAACTGTGCGCTACCGTGAGATGATATCAAACTTTGTTTTGCCCAAAATGCAAAAGCTTGACTTGCATGACATGCGGTTTCAACAAGATGGTGCCACCACATGCCACACAACACGCGAAACCCTGGACTTAATGAGAGGTGAGTTCGATTGGCCGCCTAGATCGTGCCTTTTTACGCCTTGAGACTATTTTTTGTGTGGCTAAGCTAAGTCTAATGTCTATACAGACAAGCCAGCTTCAATTGACGCATTAGAGGACAACATCGAAGTATTTATTCGTGAGATACCGGCCGAAATAATCACCCTTTATATGCATGCCACTTTTCTGATTAGAGATTTTGGTTTTAAATTCATTCAAAGAGCATCTAAGAACCGAAATTAGGTATACTTCACACTGAAGATCATCGAAATTTTATTTGGTTAAAGGTATAAGGACCGATGATATTGAAATGTTTTTTTTTTACGAATAAATGAAAACTTGATGAGAAAAAATTAAATAATCTGTCAGTTAATAAATTGAAATTTCAGACAAAATTCAGAATCAAAATTTAACTGAATTTTAACAATCCCAAAGTAGTTTTAGAAATATATAAAGGGTTTTTCAATAATAGGTGTTATTTTGAATAGCCCGCTATTCCGATTGATTTCATTTTCGAAGCTGAAACTTTTTGATATTTGACCAGTAAAACACTACTCCCTTAAGAAAAAAGGAAGAAGGCACTGAAATTTTTGAAAATCACTATAAATAGGATGAAAACCTGGCAGAGACGGTTTGTAAAACTAAAACATTTTTCGAACTTGTCAAACCGCAATACCGAAATCGGTGGACATTGAGTATTCCACAAGCGTCATTACACCGTTTTTTTTTTTGCATACCGACTTCGGTCTAAAGGTTAATAAAATTCAGTTAAGACAGAAACTTAAACCGGCCGATCATCAACAACGATGTGTCTTTGGCGTTTGGGTCCTTAAAATGCACGAAAAATCATCTTGACAGATAAGGTCCAATTCACTTCGCTGGCTACATCAATAAGCAGAACTAACGCATCTGAGGCTTGGAAACTTCAAGATTTATTGTTGGAAAGCTTCTCCATCATCAAAGCTTAACTGTTTGGTGTTGTTTATGGTCTGGCGGGTTCATTGGATCTTACATTTTCGAAAATGACGCTTGAAAAGCAGTTACGGTGAATAAATAATTCATAATTTTTTATGGTTGGAACTTGATAACATTGATGTGGACAACGTCTAATGTCAACTTAAATATCAAAACCATGAGTCTCTTAAGGGAAAAGTTTCCGGACCATATTATCTCTCGAAGGGGTGGTCGCAATTTGGCATCGAGATCTTGTAATTTAACACCGTGCGATTTCTTTCTTTGGGGCAACGTGAGAGGTAAGGTCTACACCAACAGGCCAATGTCGATTCAAGACCTCACGGATACCATGTGAAGCTTTTGAAGGCATACCGATTTGGTGATGGAAAATTTCGTAAAAATGATACGGTGCTTCTTCTTTACAATAAACAACCGATCATTTGTCTTAACAAAATTTGTGTTTTTCCTTCAATATCAGAATAACACTTTTTATTGGAAAACACTGTATTAATAGATTAACGAGGTGTGACAAACAAGTAATGAGGCTGATTCCATAAAAACCGTAAATTTCAAAATTAGTCTACGACTCTGCTATCCCCCTCAAACTAGTCACCTTACGCAGCTATATCATGATTCTTGCGCGTTTTCTATGCTTCGTAACATTTCTGAAACTCTTCTACTGGGATATCCGCGAGTACCCTCGTCACGGTCGCCTGGATATCCTCAATCGACTCAAAATGGGTTACTTTGACCACTGATTTTGTTCTAGGGAACAAAAAAAGTCACAGGGTAACATGTCGGGTGAATGAGAAGGTTGTTGCCACACGACGATCCCTTGAGAGGCCAAATACTGGGACACGCTGACGGCGGTTTGGCACGGCGCATTGTCGTGATGAAGGATAGAGTTACGAGCGATGTCCTGACTCGTTTTCGCAATCTTTCGTTTACTTTGCGATAGTAGACTTGATTTACGATTTGTCCCGATCGAAGAAGTTCTTCGTGAACGATCCCACGGCTAACAAAAATGGGCAACAATTTCGCTTTCACCTTCAACTTGCTTATACGAGCTTAAGCTCTTTATGCCATCGAAACACCTGGGCAAAACTAAGAGCACTTTCACCATGCACTTTGTTAATCTTTAGCGTACGTCTCCGAAACTGTTTCCCCAATTTGGCGCAAAATTTTACCGCGACGCGTTGCTCTTGATTTCGTTTTTCCATTATCATGACGAGCACCACGAACAGACGTTTACTCAACACGACACAGCAGGCGAGCTAAACAAGCTAGAGCGATGGCAAATATATCAATGGACAAGAGAAGAATGCTGGGAGAAGCGAAAGGGAATTTCAATAATCGGTCTCATTACTTAATTGTCACACCTCGGATATTTAATGTTTGAGGAAATAAAAATTTTAATTAATTTTTTTTGGTAATTCATATTTACCATTAAATTAAGTACACCTTAAAAGTCATTAGATCTCCAAGAGGTTTCGAGAAATAAAATCTTACATGAATTTGTTTAGTTTTAAAAAATGTAAATGAAAAAAGTAATTTTTTTTTTTTAATTTTAATGAGTCTCATTCAGATAAGAACCACCCTCATTGTCACACTGTACTCGTTCTGCGTTTCAACTATAAAATTTACATATCTTTATTATGCGCATACTTACATTGGCAACGTCAAATGTCGCCACTCATCCATCGTGTAGTTAGTAAGCTCCCGACCCGGCACCGTACACCAGTGATCGGGTATGTCAAGCGCCAAAATAACATTCATATATACCATAGAGCCGGCAGCGGCTAAACCTAGCACGAATGTCAAATTGTAGATGAGTTGGAAGCGTCCGTGATTGCCGGCACGTTCCATGATCTTTTGAAAGGGATCATTTTCCTCGGATTCATCATACTCGTCCTCTTCATTCGTATGTGCGGTTTTTTCCATATCACCATTTAGTTTCTCATCTAACATTGTGCTTTTGCTTGTGTTTGTGTTTGTGTGCGCTTTGATTTGTGAGTGATAAACTCAGGTTTTAAAGTGTTAAGTAAATGTAGTAGACAGCAACGCTCTGGAAATGCAATCATAGTATATTTGAATTAGATTAGAACAACACCACATAATTTTATGGTCATTTAGAGATTTATCTTACAGTTTATTGCACTTTTATTACAATGAACATCATTGTTTTCTTCTCTCATTCCATAACCCACTATTATCAACTTATTTTTTTTTTTTAATAATTTGTTATGGAATAAAATTCGTTCAAAAAAAAGTTTGAAAAGTTTTGAAAAATAATAATATACAATAATATTTCTATACACATATGTACAGCCTTGACCAAAAGTATTAGGCACCCCACTGAAATACAAGTGTTCTCAAATGTGGTTATCAAAGTTACCGTTACCAATTCTTTTTGTAAATGTCTTATATGGGTGTCTAACTGTTGATTAAACGAATAAATTGTGTAATATTAAGAGTCATAGCACTCTGGGTAAGCTAAACCTAAACATTGTCATTTTTAAGAAATTCATAAAATATTTTCGGGTTTAAAATTTGAATGTGAAAGCGTAAATTACATTTAGTTAAAAATTACCGATCTTATAAAATCAGTTCAAATTTACCGATATGCCTAAAAAAAGTGAAATTAGTTATGATGGTAGAGTTTCAGGTTGAGATTGCCAATTTGGTGGGATGTTCGCGGTCCAATGTGCTATCAGGCGATTTGTGGAGACGAAATCCCACAATAATAATTCAAAAAGTGTAAGAAAGCATCTAATCAATAGACGAGAAGACCGAATACTTTTACGTGAGCCTCTCAAGGATCGCCAAAAATCTTCTTCTGCCATTGCAGCTGCCCAGAAGAAGACTTTTGAAAGCAAGTTTAAAAAGATGTAAAGCCCGAAAGTTGCCGTGGCTCTCAGAAATGAATAGGAAAAATCAATTTTAATGGGCTCGCCGATACCAACATTTCAGGGAAGAAGATTGGTCGAATGTTCTGTGGTCTGATGAATCAACCTTCGAGGTAAGCTTAGTTAAGAATGTCTTAAAGTCTTAACAGCCATAGTTTCTTGCCCTAGAGCAATTTTGAAGACATAATACAAATCTTATGGAAACATTATTTTCTCTTTTCTAAAGATATTTGGAACACCTGGTGTAAAGTTCGTGAGGCGACGGGTTGGGGAAGAATCTCATCCAGATTGTGCGATACCCACGGTTAAGCATGGAGGAGGCAGCATTGTTATCTGGATCTCCATGGCTGCTGATGGTGTCGGAGAGGGTCGCATGGACAGTGAAAAGTACATAAATGTATTAGAAGCTGTTCTTCTGCCTTCGTTACGCACTTTCTCGGCGATACTAATTTAGACGGGGCTCAATTTCAGCAAGACAATGCTCGTTGTAACAAACCAGCGACTACGATGCGTTGGCTATAACAACATTGTTTTGCTAGACTGACCTATACAGTCTCCAGATCTTAATCCCTTTGAGCACATGTGGGCTATTTTAAAACGCCAGAATAAGGAACACAATACAAATACAAACATCAAAAACTGTCTTAAAGAATGCCTTAATTAACAAGTGGTACGCATGCCTAAGAGCATTGTTGCCGTTATTAAATCGAAGGGTGGACCTACTAATTATTAATATTGTTATCACTAGTTCATTGTATTTTCACTGTTTTACTAATAAAACTTCATTACTTCACTTGCTAAAACAAAAAATTCAGTAATTAATGGAATGCCTAATACTTTTGGCCAAGGCTGTATATTCTTGCGCCAAAATCTTGAATGGTGTATGTAAGGCATGCAATGGCGACTGCAATTTCTACTCTCCCTCTATTGAAAATCACACTCCACAAATGATATTTTCTTCAACATTTGGAAACATATAAGCTCTGATGATGCCACCGGTCCACATGCCGCCCAATTTAGCAATAAGGAACTCATTGGTTTTCCCCTACCCACCTCCCGCCCAAACGACCGAGGGGCGTGTCTGAGGGAAATCGAAAAATCCAACAGACCGGTGACCGGAAACCAGTGACAGTCCGGGCTGCTTTGAGCCCGAAACCGATCGCGAAAAGTCGCTGCTACACTTGACTCTTACACTAAACAACATCAGCCGCTATAAAATAGCATGGGGAAAAGAAGAGGGAATTTATTTAGTTATTTAAAGTACTTAGTAAGTAGATTTTAATACAGAAAAGTGAGTCAGAGGAATCAATGTTGGGGAAATGTGTATTAAAATCGTTGCACAAAGATTTAAGAGGGTCGTGTATTCTAAAGTTTGTTCTGCACGATCCCAATGAAAGGGGCATAAAGTGCCCAGACGATCTTAACGGGATGGTAAAGTTAAGCTCGCTAATTAGGAAAAGGCTATTGATAGCACCTCTTATCAATTTAGTTAAAAATAAAACTCCAAGCATCTTTCTACGACTATGGAGTGTACTTGCTCGGTTCAAAATTTAATTTTCTTAACGCGATTAATAGTAATTGCTTTTGTACAGATTCCAATTTATCACTATACAATTGATAGTACGGACTCCATACGACTGAGTTATATTCCAAAATGGGTCCAACAAGTGAGGTAAAGAATAATTGGGTAATGTATGCGTCCTTGAATTCCTTAGCCCAAAGTCTAATGGAAGCTAAAACTCCTTATGCCTTATTAGCTCAAGCATTTATATGATTTCTAAAATCTAGCTTAGGGTCCATTGTGACACATAAATCAATGAAGTCAGTAACGTGTTCAACGCTGTGATTAAGTGTCATATAGGCAAAGGATTGGAAAGATTTTCCGGAGAAACACATATATTTGCACTTCTTTAAATTTAGGGATATACAGTTCGCATCGCACCACTTAACTAGGTTATTTAGGTCAAGTTGCAAAAGCTCTCTAACTTGAATAGAATGAACTGATTTTGAAAGCTTGACATCATCTGAGTAAATGAGTATTTGAGAATGAAGAACAACATTTGGAAGGTCCTTGATGAATATAAGGAAGAGTAAGGGACCTAGGTGACTGAGAGAGGTGACTGCCTTGAGGAACACCAGATGTTACTGCTATTTCACGTGATGTACAATTTTTAAAAATGACTTTTTGATTTTTACCAATCAAGTACGAAGCGGATTTCTGAGCTCAAAAATGCTAGATTTGCCTGCTAAAATGAGGTTCATAGAAATATATGATTTTTCGCAAAAATACTCATTTTCTGCCAAGCAATCTTCAGCCTATTGAGCGAAGTCAAATTACGTTTAATGGTTATGAGACACTTCTTGGTTCAGTTGGTTTTTATAAGCGTTCATATAGAGGTCTTTATGCAAAATTCGCCACAACTCTTGTACTGAACTTTTAGCACTTGCCTTTAAAGATGTTTCATAACCGGAAAAGTTATAGCCTATGCGAGTATAATATAGGGAAAACGTTAAAGGGTTGTCTTACGTATAAAGTGAGAATAGCGTAAATAATGATTGACATGTACCACGAAAACTGGATGTAATAGATAAATATATGACTCATTGCATAATCATTCCAACCAACGGTTAAGAGAGTGCCAAAATTATATAACAGGCCCGACTTACAAAATTGATTCAAATAAAAAAATTAGTAATGTTTTCTAATTACGATACCCCAAGCGGGGCCAAATATAACAAGGGATGACCCACTTCGAAGTACTTTTTTCAGTAATCTTTTTTGGACAGATCAAACGTCAGTCGGGCCAAGCTGTAATATTATTTGTGTTCAGTATTGTATGGCACTAACATCCAAAAGTTATGGAAAATTAATTTAAATTAAAAATTAATTTAAATTTTCTAATTGCAAGTGTATTGTTCGGAGGCGACTTAGTATAACTGTAGATCCCTTCATTTGTTGGATAAAACATCAAGATGCAAAAACCACAAATTGAAGGAGCAGCTCGACCGAAAAATCAGCGGTTACAAAGCGGCAATTATATATGTATCGTTTGGCATTTCACAATGGAAAGATTTACGCCTGGACAACGTTAAAAAGTCGTTCAATTTTATTACAAAAATTCACGTTCTTTAAAGAACGTGTTTTGCACGCTTCGCCCAACTTATGGTTGATATAATCGAACGCGAACAGTCCGCAGCACCATCGGACATTACATTTATTATGGGATAATGTTCGTCCAATAGACCATGTTCAGCTCACAGTGAAGAAAATATATCGGCCTTAGCTGATAGTGTACACGAAGGTCGTAGAGAGTCGATTCGGTGACGTTCGCAGCAACTCGGCCTGACGTATGGAACGACTTGGTGCATTTTATATCGAGATCTTAAATAGAAAACATACAAAATACAGCTTGAGCAAGAACTGAAGCTCGACTTTCCCAAGCGACATTGTTTCGTTCTTGAGCTCTTGAAAAGTTCTAAGAAGATCCGACGTTTTCACGCAATGATGCCCGTTTTTGGCTCAATGGATATATAAACAGGCGAAATTTCCGCAATTGGGAAGAAGAGCAACCTGCGGACGTTCAAGAGATGACATTTCATTCAGAAAAAAACAAGAATTGGGGGCTATTTGTGGGCCGGTAGTATTTTAGTATTTTCTAGAAATATAGGAATCTCTGAAAATCAGAAATGTTCATTTAACAAAACGTTGCCATTTCGTTGTGTTAAAATAAAAAATAAACTTAACGAAATAATATTGTCTCGTTTCGAAACAATATCGAAACAAAAAGAATTTTTTTAAGTTGAATGTTGAAATGCTTGCTATGATATTAACGGAAGACTACAATTTCAACATTTAACATAATCCGTTGAGGTTTTAAGTTTTATACAATTGCAAATATACAAATATGTTTTTCGGAAATTACAACAACAGTTTTAGATGGTAGAAGTTATAGCTGCTATTTCGGAAACTATAACGTTTCTTTAACTACTTCCTTTTCCACACACACTTATTCGAATTGAACTCGAGCTTGGGATGCCCTCAGCACGAGCCGATGGTTATCGCGTTGGGCTACATGTATGTCACTTTTTCTAATTATTGTTTTTCCCTTTTGCCTACATATTTACGATCAAGTGCTCAGATATTATTGTTTTTGCGAAGAAAGTTCCAAAAAATGATTTAAGGCAATGTATTTTTCATTAATGGAAAATTTCGCTGAAAAGCTTCTTTCGTAATTCCTAGATGCTTTTTTAGGGCATTATTCTGTAAAATTGTATTTTGTTTTTTTTTTTCATATTGTTTTATTAATTTTAAATTGATTTATTTTATATTATTTTATTCTATTTCATTTTAATTTATTTTGTTTTATTTTATTTCATTTTATGTTTTTTTTTTTTGGTTTCTAATTTTTGAATTTATTATATTTTCTATATCTGAGCACTTGATCGTGGATATGTAGGTAAAGTGCAAAAATTTAATTTCCCGGCTTATGCTCACAAATCTCAAGTCTCTTGCTCTTGGGCGATCATTGATGCGTTGGTGGACTGCCAAGAGCTGCTTGGACAAATCAGATTTAATGATCCTCACAGCACTTTATGCTCTTATTATACATTCCATTCTTAGATGTAATTAAAGCCAATTATCATATATGCGATCCTATTGTTGGAGCACTCTCTGAATTTAATGGAATCTCTAGAAGCTTCGATATTTATTTTGCATTGCCGAGATATCGTTTAGCTCTTTTTTAAGTTTTTAATTAATTGTACATCTAGTCTGTAAGATTTGTAAAACTGACTTAATAAATTTTAAAAATGAATTAAATTTGATACAAAACTTTAATTTTAAAAAATTATTTTGATGACTATATTAACGATAACATTTGCAAAAATTTCATCCAAAAAGATTGAAATTTTTTGTTTAACATGAAATATTTAGCGCGTGAGCGCAGAGACTAAGCTCCTTCTTCAATTTTTGGTGCCCATTTTAATATATTCCAACAAATGGAGAGAGTTGCAGTTTATCTAAGCCGCCTCCCAAGAGCTTAAGTTGTTTTATGAGGAGTCTTCATTTAAAATTAATTAATTTTTTATTTAAATTGATTTTCTATAAATTTGGTTGTTGGTCAGATCAGTACTGGAACCACGACCTACCTTCGGAGTGGCAGTACGCAATGCTAGCCATTCGGTAAGCAATGCAACATTTACGAGCCTTATAGAAGAAAAAAATCAATAGTTTGAGTTGATTTTTGTTAAATAACAACAACTCAAATGAATGAAATAACTGCTTTGAACATTCCAGGTATGCCCGTGTTTTTGCTTGCTCTGGTCATTTTCTCCTTTGGTGCGACAGACATTTCACGCTTTTCGCCAAGTCCTACCTTACTTTAAATTTGTTTATATTAGGTATAGTAAAAAGAAATCCATTATTTTTACATAAAATTGAGTGGCTTAAGCCAGCATTATTAAAATAGTTCCAAAAGGTTTTTGTGGAATCTTCTGCCCTTGGACCGTCGATGAGCATCTTTGATATCGCAATTACCGGAACGGAATCTTCGAAACCGAAAACTGCGCGTGACCAGGACCATAAACGCTAATCATATTTTCAGCGGCCTTGCTTGTGTTTTCGCCCTTATCGAAGAAAAACTGAAAAATGAAGCGTGTTTTCTCTTTGCTTACGTAATTACATACTTCACTGGCGTAGACACCGCTTACGCAATTTTAGCCGGCAACTATTGTACATTGCGCCATTCGTTTCTTATTTTTGCTATTTGGTGCCAATTGGAAATACCAAGTACAGCTAGGTCCTTCTCTACTTGGTCTTACCAACGGAGTGGAGGTCTTCCTCTTCCGCTGCTTCCACGGCGGATACTGCAGCGAAAACTTTCAATGCTGGAGTATTCGCATCCATGTGGATCATATGACCTAGCCAGCGTAGCCGCTGCTCCTTGATTCGTTGAACTATATCAATGTCGCCGTAAAACTCGTGCTAACGCGCAAATGACCATAAAACTTACGCAAAACCTTTCTCTCGAAGATTCTCAAAGCCTACTCATTAGCTGTTGACATCTTCCATGCCTCCGCCCCACATAGCAGGACGGGAACGATGAGGGACTTGTTGAGTTTGGTCTTCGTTCGTCGGGAGATGACGTTACTTCAAAGTTGCCTGCTCTGTCCAAAGTAGCAACGTTGACAAGAGTGATTCTGCGCTGGATTTCAAGACTGATATTATTATTGGTGTTAATGCTGGCTCTTAGATAGACGACTTATCTACGACCTCCATTCGCTTCGATTCTTCGTCAAGCTTGGAGAAAGCAGAACTAACGGCACGGTTGTTAAGGCCGATAAAGTCAATATGATCGGCGTACGGCATTAGTTGAACACTCTTGTATCTTTTCTATTCAGCTCTGCAGGTTTCATCATTCTCTCCAGCATCAAATTGAAAAAAAACTCACGACAAAGAGTCACCCTGTCTGAAACTTCGTTTGGCACCAAGCGGCGCGGAGAGGTGCTTCCCAATTCTGACTGTGCTTCTGGTGTTGTCTACCGTCAGCTTGCGGTGATATCAAATTCAGACATAGCGGTGTAAAGGCAGCTTCTGTTCTGTTCGAAGTGGTGGGTGTCGATCCTCTCTTCACGGGTCTTTTCCAAGATTTTTCAGTTGGTGAATAACTGGTCAATGGTTGACTTACCAGATCGAAAGCCACACTGATAAGGTCTAATCAGTTTGTTGACACTCGGCAAGACCTTACAGGCGATATTAAGCAGGCTTATCCCACTATAATTGGCGCAGATAGTGGGGTCTTTTATGGATTGGGCAGTTCCGAGTTAGACTCCAATCGTCGGGCATGCTTTCGTGCGACTATATTATGCAAAGTAGCTGATGCCTGCACCTTGTCAGCCCTTCATCGCCATGTTTGAATAGTTCTGCCGGTAGGTCATCAGTTCCCGTCGCTTTGGTTTTGTTTTTTAAGCGGGCGATTGCTCTTCGACCTTCTTCGTGGTCAGGTAATGGAACAAGTTTTCCAACGTTATCGATTGGGGTTTCGGGTTCACCATCTCCGGATTCTCCATTGTCACTAGCATTCAGCGGGTTGGAGAAGTGTTCCCTCCATAAATTCAATATACTCTGAGCTTCGGTGGTTAGATAACCTCTTTGTGTCCTACAAGAGTCTGCACCGGTCTGGAAACCTTCCGTAATTCGTCGTATCTTCTCGTAGAATTTTCGAGCATTACACTTATCGGCCGGCTGCTCAAGCTCTTCACACACTCGCATCTCGGCCACTTTTTTTTTTGTCTGCACATGCGTCTTGCTTCCTAACTCATTTCTCGGTATCTATCCCATTCCGCTGGTGTTGTGGTTGATCGCAAGTTTGCGTGGTAGACAATCTTCACTCTCTCTTCTAGGTCTATCTTTGTGGCATGCTCAAACAAAACTGAATCAAACCAATCACAAAACTGTCAGAAAAGTTTTTTTAGTACGAAATGTCATCTTTCTAACGCGAGCCAGCGGAACCAGTTCGGACTTATGCAAAGTGAAAATAATTGATTTTTTTATACAAAACCTGATATATTGTAAATATTACTTGAGTTAAGTAGAATTGAAAAAAAATAATAATATTATATTATTGTATGATACATAAATATTCGTTAAAATAGTTCGAATGTGCGTAACGAAATTGCAACGGTTCTTGTATGAAAATGGCAGTTCTTAGATTAGAATTATGACTATTACTAGTAGCACTGCCGGCTTTCTTCAAATCAGCTGGGTAGAATTTCAATGTCATGCACACTGTTTGCTCACATGAATAGTCGCACACGTTTAAACCGTTATTTGGCGCCAATTATTTAGAAAATGTTTGCTTACATTTATCAATATTTATAATTATGGTGAAATTCAACACTATCGCGTCTTAAAATAAATTTTTCTTCGCATATCACTTATCGATGCGGTTAATATACATATGTATGTACGAGTATAAACTATGAGTTTCTAATATTCATTCACAACATTCTTTTTGGTGTACACTCTACTGTGATTTCGATCTTGTTTTGGCAAGCGTTAAAATTAATCTGACATAAAAGTGTACCATTGCCAGCATTAAAATCAAATTATCACAAACGCAGTTAAATGAGTTGTTTGAGTTGTTTTTGGCTCAGCTATTGTGGTGATAAAATGGAATGCTTGATAAGCAAATTTAATTGTTTTGCTATCACACAACGAAAAATGTTCTACGAACAAATGTACTTTGGTACTACTGCTACTACTTATGATAACTTACCTGACACACACATTGACGCACATGCACATCTTCACGTAGTAAAGGGTGATTTTTTTTAGCTACTATCTTATTGGCAACACTGGTTTAAACAGCTGACGCATGTGTCGTGTTTTGTATCACTGTCAAATAGCTTCACAGTTTGGGCCATAAATTAAAAATGAATCGTCTTACAAACGAGCTACGCTTGCAAGTTATTGAATTTTATAATCAAAATGCTTGCTCTGTGAAGAAAGTTCATTACGTGCTTCTTCAGCGCGCGCTTCGAAGCTGATTTTTGGCTTAATGGTTGCATAGATAAGCAGACTTGCTGTAGTGAAGATCAGCCAGAAGTACTGCAAAAGCTACCAATGCATCCAGAAAAACTCACAGCTCGGTGAGGTTTATGGGCTTTTGACATCATTGGACCGTACTTTTCAAAGATGATGATGAGTGCTACCGTAAGATGATATCAAACTTTTTTTTGTCCAAACTGCAAGAGCTTGACTTGCATGACATGTGGCTTCAACAGGACGTTGCTACATGTCACACAGCACGTGTAACAATGGATTTTTTGAGAGGCGAGTTCGGTAAACATTTTATTTCACGTTCGGGACCGGTCAATTGGCCGCCTTTAGACTATTTTTTGTGGGGCTATGTTAAATCTTACGTCTATATAGACAAGTTCGTTTCAATTGACGTATTGGAGGGCAACATCGAAACATTTATTCGTGAGATACCGGCTGAAATATTGGAAGGAGTATGCCAAAATCGGACCTAAACAAATGGAGGACCATTTGCGGCGCAGTCACGGTCAACATTTGCATGAAATATTCTACAAACATTAAATTATATGGACCGTAATATCGACTCAAATAAAGATTTCATGCATTTTGCTGAATTTTATGTGTTTTTTTATTCGAACACTTTCCTATAGCTCTGGAAAAAATCACCCTTATTATGTATAGGCGGGTGTTGCACGAGGATTGTCTTTTATATTTCGGTATTAAAGAACAAAAATAAAAATTTATCATCAAAATTCGATTTTTTCAGTATATTCTCCATTGAGATCTATACATTTTTTGTTTGAGTTGGTACCAAATGCCGAAGCTTTTTGGCCACTGCGATTAAGGTATCTCCAATACATGCAATCTGAATGAACACGTATCCAACATCCCTTTATCGAATCAAATATCCCTTCATTGAAAAACGTCTCTCTATTTATTGATTTTATATATGCGGGAATAAAAGAAGGTTTTTCGAAGCTAAGTCAGACCTCTTTAGTCGATTATTCATCATATCAATGTTTTGTATACTCAAAAATGCATTTACGTGTATGTCAGTGGAATTGGGAGCGCTCGTATTACTTTGATGAAGATTTTTCTGACTTCTTGAAAGACAAATGGCAAAGAAAAGATTGTGTACCACTCACAAGTTACTGTTATGCCTTTTTCTAGTGGTACTTACTACTACTTAGAACTGCGTCGTGTACAAACAAAATTTTTCGGATTTGGCTCATCTTAAAACGCCCAAACTGCCAACTGCCGTTCTCTTTCGCACTCTTACGAGTAAATCGGCGATGAATCACTTGTTGTTGTTTTTTAATATTTCTCTTGACCAATCGACAAGATCCTTTTATTAGAGCGTTTGACAAACTGTATGGGATCCAAGGTGAGACAATTTTTTTACAATAAAATTATGAATTGAGTTGAGTAGATGCGGCTGCTGGCCAATAGGCCCATTGTGACCGTCAGACAAATGTTCCTGCAAAATATATATATATTTATATATTATATTTATTTATTAATTGTTTTAATCCAGCGATAGGCCACATGACGATCATAAAATAACAGTTTATCAGTTCATTAGTTTACCGAGCTACAACAGAACAATGCGTCTTGTTGTGGTCTACGATCTCGATTGAATTTTTCACACCATCGATAAACACTGACACTTGATGCAACTTTATCGCCCCAGAGATGAATATTTTAAATTACTGTAAACAACACAAAAAACGACATTCTTAGCAGGAATAACCTCAAAAATGCCAAAATTTACGATAAAGTTGTCATTGGTCAGAATGCAATACTAGTGTTGTCAAATCCCGAAATATAAAAGGCAACCCTCGTATATACACTAATTAACGTTATTAGATAAAATTAGATGAAATTGTAAATATTTATTTTTGGTAAAAAAAACGTGTTTATTTCACGCTTTGGATGTCAAGCACCACAAGAAAAAATCAAAAGGCATTTCACAATGAGAACTAATTTCAGTTGTTGAATAAAATAATGTAAAACAGTTTTGTTGTTTTACTCAACCAAGCAAAGCGCAACTGATTACACTAATACCGCAGATGTCTTGTGACTCTTTGATATCCTCGCTGGATATTTAGTGTGTCAAGATGAGTGAGCGAGCTCTAGTGTCAGGTACAGACGCGTGCATTTTTCTACTTCATCTTGACTCTCTTCAGGAGTATGGAGCTTCAAATATTTATAATTCTATATTTCCATTTCTATTTTAACTTGTATCGTGTAAATTTCGCAGTGGTGGTTTGGAAGTTGTAAAAAAATTTGATAGAATAATAAAGGAAAAAATTATTTTTATCATTCTAAAATTGCCGCTAATTAAGTGGATCTGTGTAAATTGTCTCGTGGGGCGTTATCAAAGCTGAATGGCAGATATTGGATTATAAATATTTGTTTGCTTTTTATTTAAATAAGATAAGTACAATGAGTGTAGTATAAATTATAATTTCTATTTATTAAGGGCTTAGATAAGAAAACTGACACCTTTTAACGCAGTAAACCATTAGAACTACGATTAGGCAACAACAAAGATTATTAATATAATACGCATGCATTTGCATATGTATGTGTGTAAGATACTCTACTCATCTAACTTCATTTTATTGAGTGTATTTTATGTTTATATGTGCTACACTTGAGTAGATAACACTTGAGGGTAGACATACTTAAATATATATATATATATATATATATATATATATATGAATGTTTAGATTTATTTGCTTAAAAGCCAGACTGAAAATATGATTCTACTAATATACTAAGTAGTCTTCTTTATGTCATATATTTATTTACTTCCTAGAAAAGCGCGCGTTTTATTAATTCATTGAAGTCTTTAATACACATGCACCTCATAGTGTCCGCCTACGTGTAAGCAGCAAACGCACACACTGCTGCGTCATGGCTACTAATGACGCTACGTATGGGTCAGTCACAGTGCTGGAGATAATTTATTCGTGCAAACATACTTTTTATACAATACAATGTATATGTACATATGTTTGTTTATACAGTATTTTATGCTCAAATAAAATTATAGTATAATTTGATAAGAATGTTTTTGTTTTGTTTTCTGTTTTCTGTTTTTTTTGTGTTAAAAAAGCTACGTTGCAATAAAAGAAATGATAGGGAGGCGCCAATTATTTATTATATAAAATAGCTATCAATCGTTTATAAATAGATTCGTAGTATTAAATATATGTACATACAGGTGATTAAATGCTTGTAATAATATAGATATTTTTTTAAATAAAAATATGCAATTGTTTCATTATTAATAATGTTAATTTATTTACTTATTTGAATAAACAATGAGAAATATTTTTAATAAAATTAATTATTTGCTTATTGACTTATTGAGGAATTCTTTCTCAAATCAACCGTAATTTTCTTTATTTTTTTCTGCGGTTTTATTGAGGGGGCCTTTGGATTTATTGCATTTATTTGAAATAAAAGAGGGAAACTAAACCTAATACAAATCTTATACATATATACAAAACACTATAAAAACGACAGCATCAAATATAAGCTTTGATTTGAATATTGGTTCAACCAAAAGAGCAAAAACAGAATGTAGCGACCCAGCTGAACGAACCCTTCAGAGAGAAGGTAGACTAAATGGTACGCAGATATTCAATGGAGTTGCCCAAAACGAAACCGGCAATTTTTTAAAAGAAAGTAAATACATTTTTTTAAATGTTTTAATGAACTCTATTCAATTATCTTATTTTCATTTTTCTGAATGATCCTTTGCCATTTTTCCGGCTACATTACTATTCCACGCTCATCTGGCCACTTCTGGCCTTTATCTGCAAAAAACTGAACAAAGTGCGATTTTATAGATTTAATGAGTTCTGCAAAGATCAAAACAACCGGTCGTGCAAGATCAGTGCTATATAGTGGAAGCATCAAGAGTTTCCACCCAAGCTGTCTCAGTTTTTGGCGTAGCATTACGCTTGACCAATTCTGGCCGCCTCTCTTTCAAGGATTTATTTAATATGATCCGCTGTTCACAGTAGACGCTCGAGTTAATAGTTTGGTTCCGTGAAAATAGCTCAAAATATACCACATCCTTGCAATCCCACAAAACTGACAGCTTAATCTTCAGCCTTTGAAGTGATTTGTGGCGCTGCATCGTTCTTAGATCTTGATCCTTTTCGATTGACGTTGTTGTAAGCAATCCCTTTTCCATCTCCAGTTATGATTTGCTTCATAAACAGATCATATTCATTGCGTTTAAGATGCATATGGCAAGCGTTGAAGTGGCTTTTTAAATGAATTCAATTCATGTGGTTCACAAATTTTAAGTTTTTCTACCAGTTCAAGACGTTAAAAATAATTATGAAGGGTTGATTTTCGTATATTTAACTTTTCCCTAATCTCACGCCGAGTTATACGACGACCCTATTCGTTTAAAGCCTTGATATCGTCATCGCAGTTGTAGCACGAAAAAAATCCAATCCATTTTAAGGATTTCATAGTTTTATTTAGAATCAGAACCAAGCCTCAATATTCCAGTGAAAAT